AGGAGGGAGGGAAGGGGCGGTGTCGTAGGGGATAGGGAAGGGAGGAGGGATGGAAGGGGCGGTGTCATAGGGGATAGGGAAGGGAGGAGGGAGGGAAGGGGCGGTGTCGTAGGGGATAGGGAAGGGAGGAGGGAGGGAAGGGGCGGTGTCGTAGGGGATAGGGAAGGGGAGGAGGGAGGGATAGTAAGGGAAGGGAAGAGGTGGAATGGTAAGGGGTGTGGAGGGAAAGAAAGCATGGTAGGGGAAGGAAAGATGCGAGATTGTAGGGGCCGGAGGAGGTATGGTAGGGGTAGGGAAGGCAAGAGGAGAATGGTAGAGGCGGCGGGTTGGTAGAGGGAGGGAGGGTGGGGAAGGAAAGCAGAGGGATAGTAGGTGTCAACGAGAAAGAGAGAGAGAGAGAGAAAGTGAAGGTAAGGATAAGCAATAAAAAGCGAGCGCGCGCGGACAAGAAAGAGAGCGAGAGAGCAAGGATTGAAAGGAAAATGCCTAAAAAAATATAACTATCCATGCCATCCCATCCCATCCCATGCCATCCCATGCCATGCCATGCCATGCCATGCCATGCAATGACATGCCATTCCATCCCATGCCATCGCATGCCATCCCATCCCAAACAGTAAAAAAATAATAAGAAATAAAAAGATAAAAGACATTAAATGTAAAAAATAAAAAGTAAAAAGTAAAAAATTAAAAATAATACGTACTAAAAAGGTAGGTAAATGGAAAAAAAGTATATATATATAATTATAGTATAGATAGATATATAGGTGCAACGATTCGATGCTGAATAATGAACGTCATGTCGGTCAGGTTTCCACATTTCACAAAGCAAATGACGAAGAAGAAGCAGAGGTCATAGCGGGGTTATACACACACGCGCACGCACGCACACACACATACACACACACACACACACACCCACGCACACCCACACATACACACACACGCACGCACACCCACGCACACCCACCCACACACACACGCACGCACACACACACACACACACACCCACGCAC